CCGGACATGGGTGAGCCGCCCCCATGGACCGACGTGATGGCTTCCACCAGCTCGGCCGGTGGGGTGGTTTTGAGCAGATAACCGCAAGCCCCGGCCCGCAAGCTGTCGAAGATCTGCTCGTCGTCTTCGTAGACGGTGAGCATGATCGCCAGGGGTGGGCTTGGGTTTTGTTTCAGCCGTCGCACGGCTTCGATGCCGTTCAAACCCGGCAGGTCGATGTCCATCAAGACCACGTCCGGTGTCCGGGGCGCGGCGAGGAACGCTTCGGCGGTGGGATAGGTGCCGACGCAGGCGAGTCCCGGACTACCGCCGATTAGATAAGCCAAACCTTCGCGCACTCCGGAATCGTCGTCGACGATCGCCACGCTGATCGTCCGTTCGCCGGTGGGAGAGTGGGATGGCGTCGACATGCCTTGAGCGTAGCAGTCGATCCGTCCAGATCCATCCCCCGAATCTCCCCCCGATCGATGTTGAAAGCCGCGCTGAATCACCCTTTTGTGGGATTGAGCATTTCTCCCGTGATTTCTAGGGTTCTATGGAGCTTTTTCCAAAGGCCGAGCACGCCTTGGCCCCATCCATGGACGAACCACTTGGGAACCCTATGCTCCATCCAGCTTCTCCCCTCGATGCCACTCGATTCAGCACTTCTGCCTCGCGCTCAAACCCTCCCGCGGCCCATCGATCCCATGGGCTTTGCTCGGTGGGTGTTGTCACGCTCGTTTTTCTGATGCTCGCTTGGATATCCTCATCATCGGCTCGGGCTGTGTTGCCGACCCTGGATCTGGGCACGGTCGACGGTGATACCGGCACGCGAATCGTGCACGACGAGGGTACCTTCAGCTCAGCCCTTTTGCGGGGCGGCATGATCGGCGATGTGAACGATGATGGGATCACCGATTTCGCTTGGTACGGGACCTGGGACGGCGATAACGATCGACCGATCTTCGTGGTGTTCGGCACGGTCGACGGGTTGAATCCGGCGCTCGCGGTCAGCACCCTGGACGGCACCAACGGCTTCGTGATCACCGACGTGGAGCTACGGTTGACCGACTTGCAGGAGGCGACCTCGATCCG